TTCATCGACAAATTACACAAGCAATGTGCAATTTTCCCAGTGGTGGGAGGCATAGAGCTTCCCCTCCCTTGAAGAGCAATGAGTTTGAATCTCTAGTGTTAAAAATTATACATGTTTATACACAATTGCAATTTCCCAGGTGGTAGTAGATTGTACTGTCCACCATTAAAAGGTCCCAAGTTCGAAGATTGGAATTTGACCTAATATTGTTACTACTTCAATTCTCCTACAAGAAAGGGTGGCACCATTGGCATGGCTATGTAATGGCTATTTTGCCCAATTTGGTGCGTAATGGCTATTTTGTAAGATGGCCTGCCAATGTAACAGCTATTTAATAAATAATGATTACAACACTTTCTTTTATGTATATATCATTTCATGCTTCAATTTGATACTTTTTTATTCTGTGGATAAGGATGGCCATGGTTGTTGCTCCACAATTTACATAAAACTTCACTTCAAGTCCAAGATATGGAAAAAATTTAAGTTATATAAAATATTTATGGAATAACAATTTCTTAAAACATTTAATTACTTAATTAAGATATGAAGTACACTCAAAGGAGAACAACAATATTAAATATTATAGAATGACTGGATAGTTTGCAATAATTTTTTAATAGAATTTTTGGAAATATTTAATAAAATTTCAAATTTAAAAAATTATGAATTAAGCCAAACATAGCGCGGACTGAGCTCCCCACCTAAGGACCCACACTCAAGACCTTGAACTTGAACCAAATGAAGCTCAAATTTGGAGAGTTCATCGTTCGATCCTGATTAAGTAGGGATCAAGCTCCCGACATATAGGGATCACAAAACCTATTCTTTGGGGTGTATGTACATCAATCCCTAAGCTAGGCAGCTTTGTGCTTGCAAGATCCCAGGCTCCCACTCCCATTCCCCAATCCCGATCGCAACAACTATGGGTTGAAACATCAAGCTATGATTACCAAATTCTTTCACCGAAATTTGACTTACAAGTCTTGCAAAAAATTAGTACCACGCAAACCATCTTGATCCAGATGAGTTAGGTTGACTTGCACTGATTTTCTGAACAGTGATACAAAACCATATCCAGCACGTCAGCTTCTGCATTTCAAGAGCCAAGTGAAAGGATATCATTTCTAAGTGAATCCCATTGTGTTGGCAATTTACAATAGTTAAACAGCCATTATCAAAAAGCAATTCCAAGCACCTCTCATATAGAAAGGAGCCTACAAATGATCGATTGAGGATCATTAACTATTTGAAAACGTTGTAGTAAAAAGGACTTGCTTAATGTACCTCTTATTCTATTGAGAGTGATGCCGCTTCTTCCACTTATTACTCGTCTTTGTAGTGTACGTTCATCTATCCCATGTACAGTTTAATTTCAACAGACCAGCTCATGAAGACGCCAAATTTCCTTGGAGGATAGAATACATTTTGGAAGAAGACTGTGATATTTTAAATGATAGACTGGGTTCCATCTCTCATGATTGTTCGAGTCCCCCATATATTCGGAGATGACCCACTTCAACTTTGACCTCCTTTCATCTCTCAGTTCCTTACCCTTTTGTATGCACCTACATCTGTCTGCATCTGCAGAGCAAATTCACATAAAGAGTTCCCTTCCTCATTAGATATTCAGAAAATAATGATCAGTAGCTTCTCTATGGCACTTAATACTCGTATTTTGGTGGTAACAATGGGAGTGAAATAAGTGTCCTGAGCACGTAGGCAAGCCAAGTAACATTCCAGAATGGAGTTGCCAATTAGAGACTGGAACATGTCTCAAGGGGATCAAAATGAATTATTTTGCACACTAGAAGGTGAGAGCATCTTTTCTTTGAAAAGCTGTTGGGAGTACATTAGATCCAAAAGAACAAAACATTGGTGAATGTAGGGGACCAACCAAATTGGCTATGGCACTACCTGGTTGATCTTTCACGGTATGCTACTTATGATGTTTTATAAGAAAAAGATGATACAGTAGTGTGAACAGATGCACTTTCTGGCACTCTCTGCTATGCAGAAATGGTGGTTTATAATCATTTATTTATCTCTTCCAACTTCTTTAAACTAATTAGAAATCCGTTTAATTATGATTTGAGCTACAAAGGACATCCAACAAAGTTGGACAGAGATAGAAGCATCAAAGGTCCTCTGATTGTCATAAGGACAGGGTGCCATCTATGGATCCTCACATTCTCGTACTTATCTGGTTCACCTAAAAGGAAAGAAATGCCCATATGTTTTAAGACATTACGACACATAGAGAGCATCTTCCAGAATATTGCCTATGGAGCATAACAGAAACACGTACCCAGCTTACAAGTCGTGGACAGAAAAAAAAGCATGAATTGCAGATAGTTTTGGAACATTCAAAGGATCGACACACCCACTGCCCAACTCGATCAAAGTAAACATGAATGGCTCTAATGGCAAACGACAGAGCTGGTTTTCAATGGAGAATTTTGCAGGACCAATTGAAGGCCAGACCATGATTGGGAGCTTCAACGCAATCAGCTGGCTGCCCATATGGCAAAGTGTCACAACTTGAAAGTTGAACCACATAATTGTAGAAGAAAATTCCCTTGTTGCTACTAACCAGTTGAATCAAAAAGAAAAAGGACATTTAATGGACATTCAGGTGACAGGTCCTGCTCATCCTGGAGTTATGCAACCAGTTCAAAGAAGTTGAGTTCATCCATGCCCTTAGAAAGGCAACATTGTGTTAGACAAGCATCACGACCATTGACCACTGTCGTATATGAAAGGACGGACCTGATTTTCTAAGGAAGACTGTCCACAATGATATGATGTTTTTGCACCACAGATTTCCTTAATAGGCCAACATGTAATACCTTTGTGACTTCTTCATGGGTGATGCAATTGAGAAGAGGGGGTTTTCTTTCTCTATGACTTCATTTATCTTGCCAGCCTGCCCTTGTAGTCCAAGAACTCACAATAACATTTTCCTATAGCAAAACAAAAGGGGGGAACCCAGAAAAAACCTGTCTAACTTAGCGCACCCGCTACCACCCCCCGCCAAAAAAAAACCGGTGGCAAAAAAAATACAAAAATAAAAAATAAAAAAGAAGATCCAACGTGTGATATGCAATAGATGGACAATTAAGGAGTGGATTCTTATTAATTAAGAATTTGATAATCATAGTAGGGATAGGCTTTTGTGATTTACAACAGCCTAAAATGATCTAGCCCAAGCGATTCAGGCTCTTGGCTTCAAGGTCAGCAAATTAGGGGTACTTCATAATAACTTATGTAATCCCAGATAACCTACCCAAAATAATTAATTGATCCATATATAACTCTAGAGCATACAACTATCTCAAAAAACTGCACAGATGGTTTCATGAAGTAGTTGCCACATTTTTGGCATCTGCAAATACAATGTGAACTGGAAGCATGTCATTTTCTCCTTCAACAAGAACAATTATCATACCGGATGTAAGAAGATATCACTTCTTGAATTGAGTCTTCAATTATCAAGGTTTCCCGTTACAACAACACGAGGCATTTGTAGTTCAAGTCCAATCCAATTTGAAAATCCTCAATGGTTTCCATTACCAGATTAGGTCTCTTGAGGTAATAATAATATTTCTCTGCTCTTTACTTGAGTTATGGGTTTCATCAAAGTAAAACAATTTTCATTTTGATGCAAAGTCTATATGATATTATGAGGTGTCCAGAACACCAAATTCACTATTTATGCTTGGCTGCTTGCACTTTCGATATAATTGCTAAGGTTTTAATGAAGTGTGGCGTTTTGTCATTGTAGGAACAGTCCAGTTTTATGATATGGTTGGTAAGTTATAACAAACTAGTGATGCCATTGGTCAGAAGGTGATGGCTACAAATATGCTTAACGACTTCAAATGACCATTAGCTTAGCCAAGTGATGAGATATATGCACTCTTATCAATTCCTTTTAAGCTTCCTTTGGGAGCTAGATAGGCTAGGGAAGCTAATGGATCAGTGGAAGCACTTGATTGCACTCTGTACAATAAGGATTGAAAAGGTCAGGTATTCCTTCCATCATCATCAGAACTTTTTCCCAAACTAATTGAGGTCAACTACACGAATCCTGGTTCGCCATTCTGCTCTACCAAGGGCCATACCCTCAGTGAGGCCATTAGTCCCCATATCTTTTCTCACTACTTCCAATCATGTCCTTTTGGGCCTATCCCTTACCCTTTTTCAGCCTTCCACTTGAACTAATTCATGCATTGTGTTAACAAAATGAACCCCTTCTAAGGCATGCTGTTAGCAATAATTATAATATTTTTCTCCTTTCAGATAAGTACGGTCATTATACTTAGCTACCAGTATCATAACAACAACTAAGTTTTCATGTGATATTTTCCAAATATGTAGAAGAAACATACATCAATAAGCATCTACACAGCAAGTAACCAAATGGTTAATTATCGAAAGGAATAAGTAAATTACAACTAGACAACTAGTTTCCACTAGATTCTTCAACACAACTCACCAATCTGGTATTCAGATTCTAAGTACAAATAGGTCAAAATTTAGCTAGTCATGTAAGGAAAAAAAACTTAACCAAGAAGAACATGATCCGAACAAGATCGATCTCGTAGATGGTGCTCAAAAACCATTATCTCCCCAAGTGATTATAAAACTTTGTTATGTGTTCTTTGGAGGTTATGATGCATTCTATCCATGCTTACCCAAAATTACCAGCCTAAATAAAAAACTCAAAAAGTTAAAAAATGAACTAAAGGAATGAGAATGCTTTCAAATTCAATATCATCTTAAGGAACTTGGAGAAACTTTCCGCATAAAAAGCATTCAAATAGAAAACAAGTTTGAGGAGAGTCAGGGGAAGAAAATCCAAGCTACCAGTTCATGTTCAGCAAAAGCGAAGAGGCGTACCACATAAATTGCTTTCTAGATTTCAAAAAAAGATGGATTCGAAACTGAAAATTATCTATTTAAGCATCATATGAAACACTAAGCTTATATCAAATTACCTTAACAAAGGTCAGCTACCTAAACTCCAAAAAAGAAAAGGCCAGTGGTGTCATACTGTAGAACTCTTACTATGAAATACCACCAACCATCAAAACCCTCACATGGTCATTTCTTTCTTCCCTGTTGAAGAGGCTTAAGGAAACCCCCATTATTAATTCCATCGAATTCAAGGGATTCCTCCCCTGAGCTTTTGAATCGCACAGTACATTTTTCGCCGCGAGCCAACTGCATTTATCCCCATATCTTTAAGGTCATCGAGAGTCAAGAGAGGCAAGACTGCATAATCAACCTCGTGCATTTCAAAGACTGGGGCATATCTGCCTAAACCCATTTCGTTCAGCCATCCCCAAACCTCATCATCCAAAAACTGGCTACTTTTTATACCTCCGAATTTCCTCTCTTTTCTCCCACATTTTTCAACTCTTCTCAATTCATCATCCCCATTGTACTTTGACCTATCCTCTGCATCAGAAGGCAATTCCAATCCAACCATCTCCACACAGTCAACAGAAGCGACAGGCTCCCTATTGCTATCAGTAATTCGAGCTCCTCTTGACTTTCTATGACTTCTTTTGCCCATTAAAAGGCTTTCTCTCTCATTTCCATGGGCTTTCAAGACCCTCTGATAAGAGTCAGAAAACCCCACATTTGTGGTCGCGTTTTCAGGCGATTCCAACATATGGGTGGTTGACCCTTTGGGTTCTCCTGCTTTTAATTCTACCAACTCCAAATTCCCTTCATTAGAGCCTAAATCATGAGATTGGTTTTCTTCCTCAGGTCCGCGAGATTCATGGCTATCCCCATTCCCTAAATTCACAGAGGCTTTTCGCTTGGAAACGGCTTTAATAGCTCCATTATGGCCATGGTGCAAGTACCCATCTGAAGTTCTTGACTTAGGTTCTTCTGAAACTCTGAGCTGTTTGTTTTTCTTTGCATAAGACTCATAAGCACGTTGCTCTCCTATCTCACCTAACCTGACACTGGGTCTTCTCACTCTCTTAGAGCCAAGATATGGAACAAGAGTGCCTGATAAAAGCCCATTAGATGGGCCTTCCAGCGACTGTAATTCCGCCATTTTCGAGCTTGTTTCTAGCTAGGAAAAGAAACCCAGAAAGGAAAAAAGAACATTAATAAGAAGCAGAGAGAATAACACTCACAAAAGGCGCAGGCTGTGGTAAAATTGAAAGAAGAACAAACTCACTGATTTAGGCCACGGTTAGACGCAGTGAAGGACAACGCTCAGCTTTTTGAAGGCGCTTCAAATTCTTTTGGTTCAGACGGGGTTTGGTTGTTAATTTTATCGTGTGAACTCGGCTTTTCAAGTGCCCGCACGTTTTCTCCCCCAATTCCTTCTCTCTATCTCCTCTCGTACTGTGTGTTTAAAAAATTTGATGGGGTGACTCGAATCCGTCCCACTTGTCTCCGTATAGAATCGGGGAATCAATGGATTGGATCAGAAAAATTGACAAAATCAATAATTTTTGTCTTTTAAATTTTAAAAAAATAATTAAAAAGATTTGTCCATCTTTTTTTCCACTCGACTCCACGAAGAATCAGTGGAACTCGGAGAAAAATCGGTAGAATCAGCAGTTCCACAAAAAAATCGATGAACACTATTAAATTCTGGTTTTTTACCCGATCTAATTCGCCCATTCCAGATTAAACCGAATTTTATTTCCCCTCGTTTCTCTCTCCTCTTGTTTCTCTCTCTATTTTGCTAGTTTTTCGATCTACTTTTTTTTCTCGGCACCTCTTCCTGTAGCCTGGAATAAATAGATGGTGATACGTTTCACGGTAATACACTTTGGCCCGAAGATTTCATGTGAACGTGGGAGCATACTGTTTATTTATTCCCTGTAGTAAAACCCAACTGGGCAATATTCGGAGGATTCCAAATTTCGAGACAATAAAAAACAAAAAATCCCAAATCTCAATCTCTATAGGCTTGGAAAAATATGTCTTAAGATTGCATGAGACTGACCAATGTGTGTGAAGGGTGGGATCTAAGTGCTTAAAAACTCAAAATCTAAAAATCTTCCTTTTCTAGATAATTATCTAATCTAATTATTTTTTATATAGTTCCTAAAATTTCAAATTGAAAAAATTTTCCCAAGTAAATATCCCGCAGGAGGGAATAATTATGCAGCGTAATCTTATGGGAGCATAAAACACATAAAAATGAAAAGATAGCATATATATGCTCCTATGGAATAATATACTATGTATCCACTTCCTCAGTCAAAAAGACCATGATTTTTTAGTCTTAAATTAAGGGAACCACCAAAAAATCACTAGATTATTATTTTCAAAAAAAAAATTTGAATTTTTTCATACTTAGATCTCACCTTCAAAAATGGGACGGTCATTGTTCAATTTTGAGACTTTATTTTTAATATAAATTAGAGAGCTCATTTCGAAAAATAAATAAATTACTAAGTTAGTCTATGGGTTAAAAAGATTACATCCCCAAATTTTGGGGTAGTAAAATTACCCCTATATTGGGTTTTAACGGAGTGAGTAAATATACAGTTTACTCCCGTAAGAGATTTAAACATTTTGGCAAATCAAAAACAACTTATCATGATAGTTTAATGCATTTGCAATAACAAGAAGGGCTTTTAAAAAAAAGGGAAAAGTTTATATAGAGCCGAGGCTCTAAACAATCAAATTTGAACCTATCTCAAAAGTTTCACTAGATGAGGCTGTTTTGATGTTCAAATGTCTTCAAATCGATCATCTCGACATCAAGAAGCATGAACATGAGAAAAAACTAGATTTCAAGTTTTGGAAATAGTGTATTTTGTAACACATTTATAGACCGTTAATTTTCAAGATTTTCAAGTTTTCATAGATCTGTCGATCTACACTATTTTTGAAGCTTTAAATTTTATAAATAAGTATATAAATATATTTTAAAGCTATCACAAACATTTCCAATATTGAAACTACATTTCTCGATACTATTTGAAGGTAGGCTCTAATTTAATTGTTTAGAGCCTAGGCTCTATACAAACCGCACCCTTTAAAAAACAAATCCTGTAATTTGCCATTTTTAAGAATTATTAAGAAAGGCAATGGACAAATTTGCCCCTCTTTGTGTTGAAAAGAAAATCCAAAGTCCCTTTTCTGCCCTTCATTTTTCTTTTCACAAGTTATGACATTTAAAACATATTTCTCTTTACTCGTTTTTCACTATGTCTCTCTCTAAATTATCATAGACTTCAGTGTCTGCTGTGGGTTTCTAAGATCGGGTGCATAGAGCTTTGGAAAATCAAAAAAACATCTTTGTTTTACTGTATCTAATGACGACTTGCCCTTCTTAGGCATATCAAATACAATATCATGAGGGGCATATATCATCTTGATATAGCGCTCATGCGTGTTCGAAAATAAGAATGGCTCAAACTTTTGATTTTTAAAAATAGTAGTATATTTTACCCCACCATTTTCCAACATTATGCCAAAAAAAATAACAAAGAGTTTAAGGGGACTACGTCACCATGACGAGGTCAACACTTTTCTCTCCATCTTGTTTTTGTCTCCTCAAACTTGTGCATTCAATAGATGATAAGTAAACAGCCATTTTGAATTATTAAATACCCCATGCATGGCACCAAAGCCTACAATATCACAACTAATTTTTATTCCATGGCAGAAAAAATTTAACAAAAAAATTACCCTAGGAAACAACAGAGGTGCAAGCCCATGTGCGTAAAGCAACCTGTTATCACATATTAAAAGCAAAACAAACCTACCTAATTAGGGTTTTCATTAGAACCAAAATCTACATAGAAGGCCTCTTCTTGGGATCAATTTTAAGGGTTTCAAGGAATCCATAAAAAATGAAGAAGCCTTTACGACTTACAATATTCTAAGAAAAAATAAGATTGCTTTAAAATTTCCTAAAAGAAAATAGATTTATACGTTAATTAACCCGTATAATATAATGCATATAATTTCGAAGCAAAACCAGCCATGTGAATTCACATTAAACATGTCGTTATCTAAAATGTCAATATAGCAAACAAAAAGCAAATAACAAAAAATTATGGTTTCCAAGTAATATATGAAACCATCTTTAAAGGAAAAAATTATCAAAATATACCTAACTTATCAACTATTTTTAACTAGTCTAATTGATCACGTTTATATTAAATAGTCCATCTCTTAAGTACATTTTGATAAATTTTCCTTTTAAGTAGGAAATAAGTTTTGACATTAGTTTTATAAGTATTTCATTTTTTTATATATTTGGGCAAGTTTCAAACACCAGTGTTTGGACCTATCTCTCACTTAGAAAATATAATTGAGTGGATTCGGACACCTAACAACCAAACTCGCCTCTCACTTAATAAAACCAATGTTTGAAAAAACAAATAGGTGACCCGAATCGGCCATTTGGAAAACCAATCTAGATTGGTGAATCAGCAATTCGGATTGGTTAATACGTTAGATCAGCCACATTCGACCTTAACAATTTTCAAAAAAATAATCAAAATCTTTTTAAGGCAATGCATTATGAATTTTCATTATCTTGTAAAAATAAGTGAATATTGAGATGTTGTTTCATGTTTGAACGTCTATTGATCAACATTACGGCTATATTTCCAGCCATTATTTCTTGAGTCTTTTCTTTTTTTTCTCTTTAGAGATGATAAGGGAGGAAATAATGGTTTTGAGGTAGGTCTGAGCTCCTTGCTCTTATGAAATCGGTTCATGTATTTAGTGTTGTTTGAGATGTAAAGAAAGATAAATTGATGTTTTGAGGTTGGTATGTGCCATGTAATATTTTAAATAGTGACATAGTGATAAAAGGTATTAAAGGATAAAACTGAAAAATTAAGTGATTGTCGCTTTATTTTTTACATAATTAGAATGTTGGTTTTCGTTGTCTAAACTCCCAAACATTAGCCAAACTTGCAACTTATCCGATTCTCTCAACTATTGGTAGAGAGATATATAATCATCTATGGTGCCCCATTAAAACCTATGAACCTATAAAATAACATGTGTTACGGTTTAAAAAGCGGATCGGTGACCCAGATCGGGCATCTCAAAAACTGATCCAAATCGGCGAATCGGCGATCCCGTTCGGAAATCGGTTGAATCGCTCAAATTAAAGCTTCAAAAAAATCCGAAAACATTATTAAAATTCATTATAAATATTGTATTTTAGGAATTCATTAAGAAATGAGGGTACTCCATTAAGAATTTTCATTTCTTTGCATGAATATGCGAATATTGATATGTTCTTTCCCTGCATGAACTACTATTTACCATTTAATTTACATCACACAAAAGGATAAACATAAAATTATCATGGAATAAATATATCAACATACATGGACTACAATAAACCATACAATTAGTAACATACGATCTAAAAATAAAATGACAGATGACGTCGTTCTTCTTTTTGGTCACGCTGGTGCCATTGATTGAATTCGTTTGACAATTCATTGATTCGATCTAAAAACGAATCATCGATATTAGCAGGCGTCTGACTATACCTAAATCCCTGAGTGTTAGTGTTATGTTGTGTTCCCAATCCAAAATCCCTGAAGCTTGTCTATCCTTCATGCTCACCTACACTGTCGTGCTTATCCCTACCCTGTTGCTGTTGGGACTCGATATTTTAAAAATTGAAAATATATTTTTAATGCAAAACTACATTAAAAATATAATACAGTTTTGCATTAGAAATATAATAACATGTATGTTTTTGTATAAATATTCTATCAACATGCAATTTTTTCAATAAAAACTTAAACAATAAAAATTAAAAATATCGTTTAATACCTCATGATAATCAAAACCTGGTCACTATGTCACATCTTTTCCGAAAATCATGATTTTTCAAAAAAATTAATCATGTACTAAAAACAAAAAAAAACAATTCTTCACAGAGCCACCTAACATCAGTCATTCGAACTAAAAAATGTATTAACAACAAATTAAAAAAAATGCAGTTTTGCATTAAAAATATAATAACATGCAATTTTTTGCATAAATAATCTATCAACATACAAATTTTTCAACAAAAACTTTAACAATAAAAATTTTAAAAATTGTTTAATACCTCATAATAATCAAAACCTGGTCACTATTTTCACATCTTTTCGAAAAATCACGATTTTTCAAAAAAAATTGATCATGCATTAAAAAAACAAATAAAAACAATTCTTCATAGAGCCACCTAACATCAGTCATTCCAACTAAAAAATGCATTAACAACAAATTAAAAAAAATACAATTTTGCATTCAAAATATAATAACATGCATCTTTTTGCATAAATAATCTATCAACATACAATTTCTTCAACAAAAACTTTAACAATAAAAATTAAAAATATGGTTTAATACCTCATGATAATCAAAACCTGGTCATAATTTTCACATCTTTTAGGAAAATCATCATTGTTTCCAAAAAATTCGATCATGGATAAAAAAAAAAAAAAAAAGAGTACAGAAACTCAAACAATAAAAATTAAAAATATGATTTAATACCTCATGAT